ATGACCATGATCTTACGGCTTAGGGTGTAGGATGACCATAATCTTAGGGTTTAGGGTTTAGGATGACCATTATCTTGGGGTTTAGGATTTAGGGTTTAGGATGACCATCGCCTTAGGCTTTAGGGATTAGGGTGACCGTGATGTTGATGATGATGATGATGATGACGATGGTTGTTAGTGATGCTCTGGTACCGGCTACGATGACCGGAGCAGGGCATGAATCGAATCCCGAACATACTCATAGCCTGATACGAGTACCTTTCCGCAATCCTGCAACCGTAGCTTTATTCCCATACACCAAAAGAGAGAGACACCCTTTAGGAACCCTCACCCCTTGCTCCTAAACTTCTAAACATCAAGAGCCCCTGCCCCTTAACTCCTAAACCACCAAAATAGAAACACATCCGCCCGAAAGCTTCCGAACCCTAAAGCCTTAAACCCTAAACCCTTAACCCTTAAACCCTAAACCCTAAACCCTAAACCCTTAAACCTTAAACCCTTAACCCTTAAACCCTAAACCGCATCACTAGCCTCCACTCTGCAGGAGCAGTGCAGGCGGCGGCAGTGCCACCACTGCCCTCTGCCCAGCCTTCGAACGGATTTGGCACGGTTAGGGTTTAGGGTTTAGGGTTTAGGGTTTGGGGTTTAGGGTTTGGGGCTCTAGGCTCTGATGATTCTGTCTATCTCTCTAGGCTCTGATGATTGTATAGGGTTTTGCACGGCTTTAGTGAGGTTTCTTTTGGGTATGAATGGGCATCATAGATGGAAAACAAGCCTTTGGGGTCTATACTGTGTTTCTTTATCAGGGAAAGTCGTACGTCAATTCAGACTGTAAAAAGTGTTAGTATAAGTGTTCTCTGAGGGTAGTGCGATTACTGCCTCACCTTCTTTTTCACCCAACAGCTGAACCCGAACCCACCGAATCCCAGACCTATAATATAGCGGTTAGCATTGCTCTTTCGGTTCCCGAACCTTTTCACACCGTATAAAGCATCTCGAAACCCTAGTCTGGTCATTCCAGCACCCTAAACCTTAAATCCCTCAACCCCAGACCGTGACCCTTACATGGAGGATCATGGGACTTAGTAAGTAAGGTTATAAGTCCCTTAATTGGGGTTATAAGTATAGTTACCCGAATTATAACCCTACTTACTAAGTCCCATGATCCTTTAAGTACGTGGCATCTCTGCCTCGTCCAGAGCCGCACTGTCGCCCGCCACTGCAGCCGCCGTGGCCGCCGCGAGTTTTCGGCGCGCGGCGGAGCCGAAGGCCTGCCGAACTGCGGCTTGGGTGCGGGGCTTTGGGTTCATGGTTTGCGGTTGAGGGTTTAGGGTTT